GGTGTATCTAGGGGTGGGCTAGCTAGGCGGGTTTCCTTGGGGCGTGCGGGTATGGCTGCCCGGCGCACTCTGCGCGGCGCAAGGGGTTCCGCAAGGCCGGGTCGCTGGCGGCCAGGCTTGCGGCGCCCGATGCAGAGTCGGGCGGAGCCTGGGAGAGGACGGGCGAGGCGGCCGCCCCTGCCCAGGGATGTTTGCGGAGGGCTGGCGGCGCGGCGCCCGCTCCCGCGCCCCGCCGGCAGAGCCTGATGACGTCATCGTGCGTCACTCCCTGTGAACCCCCAGGTCCCCAAGTCTGTCCACGGCCCTGTGGTCAACGATGGCTGGTTTAGCCGGGGCGCAGCCTGGAGCCCCGACGAGGCGCGCGTCTGCTACGTTGCCGAGGTGAGGCCAGATCAGATCAGATGAGATCATGCAGGATATCCTGAGCCCAGCCGCGGAGCCGCAGCACGCTCGTTTCCACCGCCAAACCATAGTTTTGTGTCTGGTCACTTCTGCGCCCATCAGCGACGCGTGACCTCGGACCCTCGACGCGCGTTTGGATTCCGCGTGCAGCTGCCGCCGCCGGAGAAGACCCCCCAGTGGGGCGGCGCCGACGCGAAGGACGCCGCCGCGCCGCGCGGCTGGCGGGGCGTGGCGGCGGCGCAGGAGGACTGGGGAGAGCTCAACACGGGCAAGGGCGCGCCCGCGCTGTTTGTGCTCGACGCCGGCGGGTGGACGGTCACAAAGGTGCGCCGGCGGCGGCGCGAGCGGCGGCGGAAACGGCGGCGACGTCGCCGCCGTCGGGTTGCGGCGGTTGCTTGGGAGCGGCGCGCGGCGGCGAGGTCGAGCTGGATGCTTCCGCGCGGCCTTGACTGGCGCGACGCCAGCAGCCGCACCCTCCCTCCTCGCCGGCTCCCTCTACAATCACCCGCCTCGCGCGCCGGGCTGCCCTTCTCCCCCCCGCTCTCCCCAAATTTGTCGTGGCAGCTCGCCGGCCTCCCGGAGGACCACTCCTGCGGCCAGCCGGTGTGGACGCCCGACGGCGCCGGCCTCGTCTTCGTCGCGTGGCCGCACGCGCCCCTCAACTTCCCGGCCACCAAGCGGCGCCTCGGCATCGTTTTCTGCTACAACCGCCCCTGCTCCCTGTTCCACGCGCCCTACGCGCCGCCGCCGGCCGCCTCGAAAGACGCCGAACCAGATGCGGGCGCGGCGGACGCGGCGGCGGAGGCTGCGCCGGCCGAGGACCTGACCGGCGGGCAGCTTCTCAGCGCCTTCGCGCCGGTTTTCAGCCCGGAGGGGGGGCGGCTGGTGTTCCTGTCTCAGGACGCCGCGGCGCGCAGCGGCGTGCACAGCGGGACGGTGTCGCTGCACTCACTCGGCTGGCCGTCATCGGAGGTGAGGTTTCCATTCGGGAGGCCGGCGGACATGCTGGGCACGGCAGCGCGCCATCAGTGTGGCACTGCAACGGCAGACGGCGCCCGGCGTTCCATCTGGCTCGACCGCATGCGCGCGGCCGGGCAGCGCGGCCTGCTGCCTCAGAAGCAGAGCGGCAGGCCCATTCAGCCTGAACCCAGAGGCTCCTTACGCCCGCCCCCTGCCTGCCTGCCTGCCTGCCTGCCTGCCTGCCTGCCTGCCTGCCTGCCTGCCTGCCTGCCTGCCTGCCCGCCTGCCCGCCTGCCCGCCTGCCTGCCTGCCTGCGTGCCTTCAAACTGCTCCTTCCCCACCGCCCGCCTCGTGCCACGCCGAACCGCGCCTCCGCCGCGCCCACACACCCCACAACCCCCCAGGGCGGCCCCGCCGCCAAGACGGTCGTCCCCGTCATCGCCCGCCCCGCATCGCCCGGCAGCTTCCCGGGCCTGTACGCGGGCGGCTTCCCGGAAGCTGCCTTCCTGTCGGAGCGGGTCGTGTTGGTCAACAGCCAGTGGTACAGCCAGGGGGTTGCGCTGGCGGTTGACCTGGAGACAGGAGCTGTGGCGCCGGTGACGCCGCTGGGGGCGGAGCATGGCAGCTGGACCGTGCAGGTGTGTGTGTGCGCGCGCTTGGGTGTGTGTGGGGGGGTGTTCGTGTGTGTGTGTGTGTGTGTGTGTGTGTGTGTGTGAGTGGGTGTGTGTGTGTGTTGTGGCAGGTGAACGCCGTAGCATTGCAACCCCTTGAAACAGTGCAAAGCTCACGGTGGGGCCCGGAGCTGTAGCAGGGCGACGGCAGGCGCAACTGGCACCTCGTGATTCGAGAGGCCTGTTGACAACACACAGCAGCACGGCCAGACGGCGATAATCTGCCCATCAGGTCCCCTCCACCGGACGCATCTCGATCTCCGCCCCCCGCCGCGCCCCAGGGCGTCTGCAACGGCGTCATCGCCGCCGTCGCCAGCCGGCCCTCCTCCCTGCCGGAGCTGCTCCTGGCAGCCGCCCCCCTCGACCTGTCAGCCCCCGCCGCGGACGCCGGCAGCCCCCTAGACCTCTTGGCCGCCGCAGCAGCGCTGTCCGCGCCGTCCGCCTGGCGGCCAGTCGCTGAGCTGGCAGTCGCTGACCTGGCTGCCTCGCTGCCGGACGCGGCGGCGGCGGTGGAAGGCGTGGAGGCCGTGCTGATGGAGATCAAGCCGACCACTGGTGATAAGACGCTCACCTTCCAGTCGGTCGTGCAGGTGGGGCCGAAATTGGTGCGCGGGCGGCGCCCCATGCGCACCTGGCAACGCACAGCGGGAGGCAGCGAGGGGGACAGGGCAGGCAGGCTTGGGTTAGGGGGCTGGCAGTGAGGCGGGCGGCGACCTTCCGAGCAGTGGCGGTGACCGCTAGCAGCCAACCTGCCCTGGCACCACAACACTCATTATCAAGCCCGCATGCAGAAGAACCCAGGGATGCCGCAAGCCCAACCCCATCCCGTGCGGCGCGCCGTGGTCGGGCGTAGCCGAGCAGGGGAGCCTCTCGCCTTGTGAGCGCCGCACAGCGCGCGCCCAACCCGTCGCCGCCGTCGCGTCCGCTGCCGCCGCCGCGCAGGCCCCCAAGGACCGGTCCGGCCCCTGCCCCGTCATCGTGTTCCCCCACGGCGGCCCCCACACCGCCGTCGCCGCAAACTACTACATGCCCTTCGCCTTCCTCACGCGCCTCGGCTACTGCGTCGTGGCGGTCAACTACAGGTGATGCGTTTGACCGCGTTTGACCCCGTTTGACCGGGGGCGCCCAACCGGGGCGCGCCCGACGCCCTGAAAAGCCGAGGCACCTTGCTCTCTGCCGCCCTCCCAAATTTCTCGCCTGCATTGCCTTGTCTCACACAGCTGATTGTCTGTTGACTACGGGAATCACACGTTTTTTACCGCACGCAAGCATCCCCCAAAAACGAGCCGTCGCCTAGCCAAGCGCGCGTCGGCTGCTACACTCTCGGCTCAACCAAAGCCGCGGCGTTCGTTGCCCTGTCGCGCGCCAATTTTTGACCTCCGCCGCCAGGGGGTCGACGGGCTTTGGCGAGGACTCCCTCCAGAGCCTGCCTGGCAGGGTGGGGCGCCAGGACGTGGACGACTGCATCGACGCGCTGGACGCAGCCGTGGCCGCGGGTGGGTGGGGGGGCGAGGATAGGGAGTGCGTGAGTGTGGCGTGGGCGTGTGTGTGTAATGTTTTGGAGGTCGCGATGCATGCAGTACCATTGCCGGCCGCGGCCGCGCTGCGCCAGCCGTCTCTCTTGCCTATCGCCAATCCCGGCCCCACCTCGCCTCCCCGTCTTCATCCCCTCCCCCTCCACCAGGCATCGCGGACCCGGACCGCGCATCAGTGATTGGAGGCTCCCATGGCGGCTTCCTCACAGGTGCGCCCGGCCGCTGCCACTGCGCGTCCTCTC